TTTGAAGACTTTGGAATGGTCAGCTTCCATGATCACAACACAACGATATCTTCCAAAGACAACAACCACATCAAGATCACAAAGCATTGAGACAAACATGAGGTTGTATCCTAAGGACTCGACAAGCACGACTTTGTCCATGTGTCGATCCTTTGAGATCGCAACCTTACCTAGACCCAATACCTGACTTTTGCCTTTGTCTGCGAAGATGATATGCTTCAAATGTGACGGTGATAAAGGAGCATCCATCAATAGATTCTTGTCACCAGTCATGTGATTCATACATCCACTATCGAGGACCCACTCGTTTGCTTTGGGTTGATCATCCTGCAGATGAATTAGTGCACCTTACGAACTCATATACTTCATCAGTGAAGAATATGACATCAATATCATCAGATCAATCTCATCAAGCAATAGCACAGATAAATCAGTATGAGGACGTGAGAAATGAAAATTCATTTCTTCATGATTAGTCTGCGTCCTTTCAGGCACATTCAGGTCTCCAGCAAATTCTTCATACGTTTTGAGCACGTCTGGAGACCTGACCCTGCATAAGAGTTTACTTCTTTTTCTTCACCACCCACATCTCAAGGGGTGGCAAAGAATTCATCACTCTGCGAGCACCATATGAGAAAGGTGGCATAGAAGCTAGTCCACTTCGTTTCTCATAAGAGGGGTTAGGGTAAGCATATGAATAAGCAGAGAAATTCTTCGAGGACTTATGAACATAATGATTTGAAGAGTAATATTCATATTCATAGCCCTGAGCTCTACCCTGCGAAACAGAAGGGTTAGTACGATGATGATCATATGAGGATTTTGATCCTTATGAGGAATTTGATCCATATGAAGAATTAGGTCCATATGAAGAATGTGATATGGGGTTCCTATTCTTCACAGGTGTTGTCATGAGGACATTCACCTGAAGACTTTCAAGATAGCTTTTGGGAACCCAGATTTTCTTCATAGGGGAACCGTTCGTGCAGTTAGTGCCAACATATCTTGCAAATACTTCACCACTCTGATCTTTGAACAGTTTATAGTTGGAGTCAAATGACTCATCAAAAGAATGAGGAGATTCACATGTAATGCCAGATAAATTGGATGGATCAACTGGAGGTCCCTTTGCAACAAACCATGAGGTTTTGGGGTACTGGCTAGGCTTCCAATATGTTCCATCAGCATTGAGCTTCCTGTCAAAGGCAATACCCTCTTTCCTAGGGTTCCTGTTGAGGATCTGCTTTTTAAGCACATCACAAAGAATTTGATGCCCTTTGAGGCTTTTGTACATGCCTATCATGTACAATTCCTTCAGCCCTGCATCATCAGTGGTACTAGCATTGTCCTCAGATGAGGAATTAGTGATAGCAGAGACAGGTGAATAATTTGTAATATTTGAAGCATTTGAACATTTAGGTGAAGAATTAGCAGATTCACGTTCAATGCACTTCAGACATGGGGGAACAAATTTTTCCTAAGTAGCGCTGATTTCTTGAGCAAGTAATGAATCACGCTCCTTCTGAAGATCTTCATAACTCACTCTTAGCTTCTCAAGATCTTTTTTTCTTTGAAGAAATTCATAAGGAAGCTTCTCGTGATCAGATAAGAGTGTGTTATGATGACTTTGAAGGTTGTCAAACTTAGACTGAAGTCTCTGAAGATTTTCAGTTATATCTTTAGTGCGGTCCATTTCTTCACCCAACATATCATCACTTTTGTCTAGCATGTTTTGAAGCTTTTCAATAGCCTATTGTTGTTTCACAGCAATCTTAGCAAGTTTAGAGTAGCTGGGCTTAAGATTTTCATTAGATTCATCCTCACTAGAGTCAGAGGAGGGGTATTTAGTTACCTTGGCACCCTTTGCCATGAAGCAATAGGTGGGAGCATAGTCATCATTGCCTTCATCAGCATTGTTGGTGTTTCCATTTTCTTGAGAGATGAAGATAGACTTGATGACGAATGCGGTAGCAAGAGCTAGGCTTGCCACACCAGACTTGGACTCCTCAGATGCCTCCTCTTCCTCATGATCCTCAGATTCAGCCTCAGAATCCATTTCCTTGCCAATGAATGCCTGAGCCTTCTTGGAGCTACTCTTCTTGTGAGATGAAGACTTTGAGGATTTTGATGATGAAGACTTTGAGGATTTTGATGATGAAGACTTTGAAGATTTCTTCTTCTTCTTGGCACCATCAGAACTGTAACCTTTGTAATTCTTCTTCGTTAATTCCTTGTCCCACTGAGGACAATCTTGAATGTAGTGACCAGGTTTCTTGCATTTGTGGCACAACCTCTTCTTGTAGTCACTGGATGAGGAATCGTTGCTCCTTGAGGACATTCCAAAGCGACCACGTCTTGAGAACTTCTGAAATTGTTTCACGAGCAGTGCTAGTTCCTGGCTCAGTTCTTTAGGATCACCAACGCTGCTGGTAGAGTCCTCTTCTTCAGACTCAGAGACTGCCTTGGCCTTCAAAGCACCTAGTTTGCCATAGCTCGAACCATAGAGATCTCTCTTCTCAGCAAGCTAAAACTCATGAGTGTTTAGCCTATCGAGGATATAAGGGGATCAAGTGACTTGTAATTAGCACGCTCTTGAATCATCAGTGCCAGAGTGTCAAATGAAGAATAGAGCGATCTCAGCAATTTCTTCACCACCTCATGGTCGGTGATATCAGTGGCGCCAAGCGCTTGAAGCTCATTTGAGATGTCAGTGAGGCGATCGAAGGTTTGCTGAACATTTTCATTGTCGAGTCTTTTGAAGTGGTTGAAGAGATTGAGAAGAACGTCGACACGAGAGTCACGTTGAGTTGAGACTCCTTCAATTACTTTGGAGAGCCTATCCCTGATAAGCTTAGCAGTTTCCAAAGCACGCACTCTACCATATTGCCCTTTACTCAGATGGACACATATGATATTCTTTGCTTGAGAATCGAGTTGCTTGAATCTCTTCACATCAGCAGCATTGAGGGAAGGTGTGACTGAGGGAACACCATTTTCCACAACATACCAGAGATCGTTATCAATTGCCTCAAGATGCATTCGCATCTTATTCTTCCAGTAGGGGTAGTCCGTTCCATCAAAGGTAGGACACCCAGTAGAGACCTTGATCATACCTGCGGTCGACATAACTAAAACTCCAGGTGGTTAAACCAAAATCACACAGAACAAGGGAGTACCTTGCTCTGATACCAATTGAAAGTGCGTTATATCGACTAGAGGGGGGTGAATAGGCGATTTTTATGAATTCTTCACTGAGGAATTTGCTGGTGAGGAAATTCCTAAATGAAGAACTACTTGCTGTGGAATAATTACTCAAAAGTAAACATAGCGAAACACATGCATAGTCATCATGATGAAATGAAGACAAGCTCTGAGTACAGAAAGCGTAAACACAGGATAACACAAGATGAAGACAGATAGACTGAAGAACTTGAACTGAGCAAATTGAGAAAGTCTTCTGTCAAAGTCTTCAAATAGATATGAACAAGCACACGACAACAGAGATGAGGAAGTGAAAGAGCTGAGGAAATAGAACCAGTAAGCTCGGTGAAGACAATGATTTGGTAGACCAGTTCCAACTGCAGTCTCAGATGTACATCGGGTTGGAGCGGCTGAGTATTTCAACTCGAGGACACCCAGTCCCGGACACACAGTCCTCACCGTATAATCCTTGAGCTAAAGTCACATGGACCTCGCCCAATCACTCGTGGTAAGTCTTCAGATGACTTCCGAACCTTCACAAACTCGGTCACTCGACGATCCACATTTCCTCTTGGATGCTCTAGACCTTGACGCCTAACCGTTTGGAAGAAGCACAGTCTTCAAAGGAAACAAGTGTCGGATCCACACAAGATCAATCTCTTCAGTGATGCTCAATCATTTTGGGGTTTTGTAGGTTTGGGTTTGGGATTTCCTCACTTGATGATTTTTACTTAAAGTCCTCGGAGGATGGGTTGCTCTCAAATGACAAGTGTTAGTTTCTCTCGGAGCAGCCAACCAGCTAGTGGTTGTAGGGGGCGGCTATTTATAGCCGGGGAGCAGCCCGACATGATAAGACATAGATGCCCTTGACTGATATGACTGTTAGGTGGGTAGATAGTTTGGGACAGCTGGCGCGTAGCACATCAACGTTCGGAATATTTGACTCTCAGGGCTATCATGTTCCTCACTTTCTAGGCAATCCATACTGGCGAATTCCTAACTCCTCAGTCAGAACAAATTCCTTAGAGACCAGAAGAACTTCGTCTCTATCACTGAAGAATATGACTGAACTGTGCGAGATTTCCAATGGCTTCACTCGAAAGGATTGGTAGGTGTAGGATTTTGAGTTGAGCATGACATGGAAATTTTTCCTTAGTATTTCCTCGACCCCCTTTAACAGTACAGTGTTTCCTATGACTTAAGAAAGAGAAAGTGAAACTGTAAAAACAAGAGTCTTCATGCTTCATGTTCCTCGAATGATTACCAAGTCTTCAAGGTCACACTAATTTCTTCACTTTCAAAGTCTTCAGAAATCCAAAGTCTTCAGTTGAACAACTTCATTTTTAGGGGTCAACTTTCACTGTAAATATCAATCTCCTTATAGACTTATAGACCTGTGTACACTCACAAACGTATCAGTCTCTTAACCTATAAGTCTTCAATACACCAAAATCACTAAGGGCACTAGATGCACTTACATGTCCTTCGGCGGCGGCAGAGGGAAGGGACGGAAGAAGGGTACCGGTGGCTAAGGCCAGAGGGATAGTAAATGGGGCAGCACGGTGCAAGTAGCTCCTGCTTGCACAGGGTCTGACCACTTTAATTGGATGAATCAAAGGAAAAATATCATCAAGACAATAGACCATATATATAGTTTTTTGCAGGCAAGAATAGACCATATACAATAGTGTATTCCTTAGTTGTCTGACAAAGCCTAAAGTCGCATTGCCATTCGGTTGGATGTTATACATGTTATAGTAATGCCACTGTATTGTTTTCACCCATACTAGTATTTTCACTTACATGTTATCACAACATAAAGCATGCATGGCGCTAGCATAGGGTAAAAATGCATACCTCTTGCCTACTAGGAAAGTCTGCAGCTGGTTGATCAGCTGCCATTCATCCATTGTTGCTGAAGCTTTGTACAGCTTCCTGTGAAGTTCAAGGAGGATATCCCTGAGAACTTTCTTTATGTCTGGACTTTGACCGACTGAAACAAAAACCCCACAATCAAAACTATTTTTAAGCTTGTCATACACGACTTGAGCAGGAGTTGTCTTGCCCAATCCTCCAAATCCAACAATGGAGACAACCTTGAGCTTTTCACCAGACGGATCATCGCCCTTACACAACCTCTCTGTTAGCTCATCCATTAACTTTTCAATGCCACCAAGGTCAGATACTTTGGTGTACATGGCCAAGAGACGTGGGTCGACTTCCGTTCTGGGATTAGTATTATTACCAATAACATCTTTGTATCTGTCATACCGCTCCTTCACCTTCCTAACTTGGATCTTGACGTCTTTGATGTTGTTGGCTCTTTTGCGACGAATCTTGAGCTTGGTGCCCTTCTTGCAGGTCTTTTTGATGAACCCGTAGAATGCGTGTGGCTTGGTAGGCTCAACACCTTCAACACGCACCATGAAGGAGTCAAGGCTGTCCACGACGGCACAGGACAGGTCCCTGACATCGTTTGCCCAAATTTTGACCAGAGGATCAAGCTGGTCTAGTGGCACGTCAGACACCTTCAGGAGTGCAGCTTGTATGACCAGGAGCTCATCCTTGAGGTCCTTTATCCCCTTCTTCAAACGTTTTTGCAGGTTGTACTCCTCCATGAGCAGCTTGCCCAACTTGGGGAGAAGGGTGCCCAACGCCCCGTGGCGAACGACATGGCGGGTCGACTCTCACAGTCTCCCTCTTGCTAGCTGCTTTCTTACTATATATCACGATGCAATGAAGAGGTCATTAGAGAGGCAGTCTAGTCGCTAGAGAAGGAGGACAGAAGTTGAGGGGAAATAAGTCAAACCTAGTAATTCAGGAGAAGTGGAGTGAAGTGGGGACGCGGATTTTTAGAACACCTACGCCGGGGCCAAGTTATCATAGCGGTTGGTTCGTTGCCTTGTACCTCGAGATTTCCGGCGCGGAATCCAGCTTTAGTTTACCTATTACAATGTCAGATGGTTGTTACAGTCCTCGACGTCATAGGGCTACAGCTCAATCGTATGCACTGCGATTTTTTCTCTTCCACCTCCCCCACATACCGACGCGGGCCCGTGAACACGACTCACGTCTCTCTCTACACACCAACCCTGCTCTTTCTTTGACTTATATCGCTCTAATGGATGGGGTGCGGGAAGGCGATCCGATGACGCTGGTGGTCGGATGCTTGGAAACCACTTCGGCGGACGGTGATAGGTACGTATTGAATCTGGAACCTACCCTACCGTTCACAATGCGCGTCCAGGGTGGGCTTTGATCTGTTCATATTTCTCCTTTGTGAATCTGAATCCCCTTTCCATATGGCTCCTGAGCCGGATGACAGATCCTACCCCGACGCCAGCGATCCAATATTCGCAGGCAGACAGATCCATGGTGGAGCATCGGAGGCGCATCTAATGGGGCATTCAATCATCCCAAATAATGAGCATATCCCAGATGCGGCGACAGACCCCAAGTACGTTATACGTTTTTTGGGGTTTGGATCTAAATCAGTTGAATGTCAAATCACATTATCAAGTTCATGCATGTCCTCCAAAATCTGTTCTCCTTTGTTCAGGGTACACACTGGATTAATAACGCCTCCGCCACATTGAGGGGGGCGAATACATTATAGTTATGCCTGGATGGAAGAAAAGGTAATTATCTGTTGGCACAAGACAAAATTACTACTTTTATTGTCTATTTGTATGAATCGGCATGAAGATTTACAGGTGTTAAAGAAGTCTGTCCTGTACATTTTTTCCACCCCATTCGTTCCATATTAAAGGATTGTTTTTTAATACCACGTTAATGTTCAGAAATGGATGATAATGTTCGCGAAAATTTTATTATTCATTAACAATGTACAATTAGTACTTAGTAGATATATATTAATGTCTGCAACACTAGTTCATGTTGTCTGTGTGAAAATCACAATGCGTGCATTGTTTCCCAGCTGTCCCAAGGAGATATTCACATAATTCTGGAGCATGTAGGCATCTGTTAGATTCCAGTAAGTACGAATACACGTGGAAATATAATATATGTGTATATCTATCTCCCTCGCGGTGATAATTTTTTTTCGTGGTTGTTGAGAGGGATGGCATAAGGTGTAAGTGCGCCTAGTGCCCCTTAGTGGTTTTGGTGTATTGAAGACTTATAGGTTAAGAGACTGATACATTTGTGAGTGTACACAGGTCTATAAGTCTATGAGGAGTTTGATATTTACAGTGAAAGTCGACCCCTCAAAATGAAGTTCTTCGAATGAAGACTTTGGATTTCTGAAGACTTTCTGAAGACTTTGAAAGTGAAGAAATTGGTGTGACCTTGAAGACTTGGTAATCATTCGAGGAACATGAAGCATGAAGACTCTTGTTTTTACTATTTCATTTTCTCTTTCTTGAGTCATAGGAAACACCGTACTGTTAAAGGGGGTCGAGAAAATACTAAGGAAAAATTTCAATGTGGTGCTCAACTCAAAATCCTACACCTACCAATGCTTTCGAGTGAAGCCATTGGAAATCTCGCACGGTTCAGTCATATTGTTTAGTGAGAGAGACGAAGTTCTTTTGGTCTCTGAGGAATTTGTTCTGACTGAGGAGTTAGGAATTCGCCAGTGCGGATTGCCTAAAAAGTGAGGAACATGATAGCCCTGAGATATTTGAGAGTCAAATATTCCGAGCGTTGCTGTGCTACGCGCCAGCCGTCCCAAAATATCTACCCACCTAACGGTCATATCAGTCAAGGGCATTTATGTCTTATCATGTCGGGCTGCTCCCTGACTATAAATAGCCGCCCCCTACAACCACTAGTTGGTTGGCTGCTCCGAGAGAAACTGACACTTGTCATTTGAGAGCAACCCATCCTCCGAGGACTTTGAGCGAAAATGATCAAGTGAGGAAATCCCAAACCCAAACCTACAAAACCCTAAAGTGATTGAGCATCACTGAAGAGATTGATCCTGCGTGGATCCGATGCTTGTTTCCTTTGAACATTGTGCTTCTTCCAGACGGTTAGGCGTCAAGGTCTAGAGCATCCAAGAGGAATTGTGGATCACCTGAAGACTTACCACGAGTGATTGGGCGAGGTTTGTGTGACTTTAGCTCATGGAGAATACGGTGAGGACTGTGAGTCCGGGACTGGGTGTCCTCGAGTTTAAATACTCAGCCGCTCAAACCAGATGTACAACTGAGACAGCAGTTGGAACTGGTCTACCAAATCATTATCTTCACCGAGGTTACTGGTTCTATTTCCTCAACTCTTTCATTCCCTCATCTCTATTATTGTGTGCTTGTTCATATCTGTTTGAGAATTTTGACTAAAGACTTTCTCAATTTTCTCAGTTCAATTTCTTCAGTCTGTCCATCTTCATCTTGTGTTATCCTGTGTTTACGCTTTCTGTACTCTGAGCTTGCCTTCATTTCATCATGATGACTATGCGTGTGTTATGCTATGTTTACTTTTGAGTACTTATCCCGCTGCAAGTAGTTCTTCATTTAGGAATTTCCTCACCAGCAAATTCCTCAGTGAAGAATTCATAAAAATCGCCTATTCACCCCCCTCTAGTCTGTATAACGCACTTTCAATTGGTATCAGAGCAAGCTACTCCCTTGTTTTGTGTGATTTTGGTTTAACCACCTAGAGTTTTAGTTATGTCGACCGCAGGTATGATCAAGGTCTCTGCTGGGTGTCCTACCTTCGATGCAACAGACTACCCCTACTGGAAGAATATGATGCGAATGCATCTTGAGGCAATTGATAATGATCTCTAGTATGTTGTGGAAAATGGTGTTCCCTCAGTCACACCTTCCATGAATGTTGCTGATGTGAAGAGATTCAAGCAACTCGATTCTAAAGCGAAGAATATCATATGTAGCCATCTGAGTAAAGGGCAATATGGTAGAGTGAGTGCTTTGGAAACTGCTAAGCTTATCTGGGATAGGCTCTCCAAAGTAAACGAAGGAGTCTCAACTCAACGTGACTCTCGTGTCGACGTTCTCCGCAATATCTTCAACCGCTTCAAAAGACTCGACAATGAAAATGTTCAGCAAACCTTCGATTGCCTCACTGACATCTCAAATGAGCTTCAAGTGCTTGGCGCCACTGATATCACCGACCATGAGGTGGTGAAGAAATTGTTGAGATCGCTCGATTCTTCATTTGACACTCTAGCACTGATTCTAGAGCATGCTGATTACAAGTCACTTGATCCCGCTGATATCCTCAAGATGCTAAACACTCATGAGTTTCAGCTTGCTGAGAAGAGAGATCTCTATGGTTTGAGCTATGGCAAACCACGTGCTCTGAAGGCCAAGGCAGTCTCTGAGTCTGAAGAAGATTACTCTACCAGCAGCCTTGGTGATCCTGAAAAACTGAGCCAGGAACTAGCACTGCTCGTGAAAAAATCTCAGAAGTTCCCAAGACGTGGTCGCTTTGGAAAATTCTCGAGGAGCAATGATTCCTCATCCAGTGATTACAAGAAGAGGCTATGCCACAAATGCAAGAAACCTAGTCACTACATTCAAGGTTGTCCTCAGTGGGACAAGGAATTAAAGAAGAAGAAATACAAGGATTACAGTTCTGATGATGCCAAGAAGAAGAAGAAATCTTCAAAGTCTTCATCATCAAAATCCTCAAAGTCTTCATCTCACAAGAAGAGCAGCTCCAAGAAGGCTCGAGCATTCATTGGCAAGGAAATGGATTCTGAGGCTGAATCTGAGGATCATGAGGAAGAGGAGGCATCCGAGGAGTCCGAGTCTGGTGTGGCAAGCCTAGCTCTTGCTACCGCATTCGTCAGCAAGTCTATCTTCAACTCTGAAGAAAATGGCAATGTTGATGAAGGCAATGATGACTACGCCTCCTCTGACTCTAGTGAGGATGAATCTGATGAAAATCTTAAGCACAGCTACTCTAAACTTGCTAAGATTGCTGTGAAACAACAAAAGGCTATTGAAAAGCTTCAAAACATGCTAGACAAAAGTGATGATATGTTGGGTGAAGAAATGGACCGCACTAAAGACTTAACTGAAAATCTTCAGAGACTTCAGTCTAAGTTTGACAACCTTCAAAGTCATCATAACACACTCTTATCTGATCACGAGAAGCTTCCTTATGAATTTCTTCAAAAAAGCAAGATCTTGAGAATCTAAGAGTGAGTTATAAAGATCTTCAGAAGTAGCGTGATTCATTACTTGCTCAACAAATTAGCGCTACTCAGGAAGAATTTGTTCCCCCATGTCTGAAGTGCATTGAACGTGAATCTGCTAATTCTTCACCGGAATGTTCAAATGCTTCAAATATTACAAATTCTTCACCTGTCTCTGCTATCACTAATTCCTCATCTGAGGACAATGCTCATACCACTGATGATGCAGGGCTGAAGGAATTGTACACGACAGGCATGTACAAAAGCCTCAAAGGGCATCAGATTCTTTGTGAGGTGCTTAAAAAACAGATCCTCAACAGGAACCCTAGGAAAGAGGGTATTGCCTTTGAGAGGAAACTCAATGCCGATGGAACATATTGGAAGCCTGACCAGTACCCCAAAACCTCATGGGTTGTTGCAAAGGGACCTTCAGTTGATCCATCCAATTTATCTGGCTTTACATGTGAATATCCTCATTCTTTTGATGAGTCA